GAAACATAAGGAGACGCTTTACATCCATCATTTTCACTTCCCTGTCCGATGATGAGACTTTCCCACTGCCTCATTTAGGGACAGGTGTACAGAGCAGCAACCACGCTCAGAGCTTGCCCACAGCGTCCAGGCGCACTTCACTTACCGACTGTCCCTTTTTGTGCTTCCTCCTGTAGAGCACGGTCCAGTTTATCTGCCGAGGGTTCCTCTTGGACAGGAATGCCGACTCGCATTTTGCATTAAGAAACTGGAAAACCTGTCGCGACAAGGCCCAAGTACAGGCGTTACCTACTCCACTGGGCAACGCGGGAAAGGGCTGAGCTGAAACCCTTAGCCAACTCATTCGTGGTTCTACGCCCTCCCTTTACCAAACCGAGGCCCAGAGACCAAGTGGCTGGGGTCACACAACCGGCAGGGAACTAACTGGTGGCACCGCGAGTACCTGCCTTTGGTCGGTCCTTTAAGCGCCGGCAAAGCCGAACGCCGGGCAGGGGAGGGCGGGGCGCCGCCTTCCGGAGGCATCCGCTTCCGGTCCCTCCCGGGACGCCCGGCGGTCAGAAAGCAGCCAGACTTTATGGCGTTTTCCTCACACCGGGACATTAAAGTCACACAGGCTCCTAATTGCCGACCTGACTCACACCAGACCCAAGTTCCAGAGTGGTGCGCTCAGAGGATTCGGGTCCCGACCACCGCACCCAGGGCCCCTGAAGCAAGCCTTTCGGGGACCGAGAACGACGGGGTACAGGAACCGACTGGGCCGAGCCGGTCCCCCTTAGGAGCACACATCACCTTCCCGTCGGTCCTGGCATAGCGCCGCCCGTGTCCGGGGTAGATCTTGTACCCACTGAAGCTGCACAGCTCGACCCTGCAACGAAAGCGAAAGCGCATCAGGGAGGGTGTCGACGGCGGGGGCAGGCCATGTGCGGGCCGCCGGAGAGGCCATCCACCCGAGATGGAGAAGGATTGGGACCAAGGCCCTCGCTTACTTCATGGCTGCGGCCGCCGGAGAGCAGGAAAGAGGGTGAAGAGGAGGAGAGGATCATGGGAAGGACGTCATGAGCGCAATCTCCTCCCCAATTCCCGGGCCTAACCGGCGCTCGGTGATGGCGTCACGCCCAGGCGCGGCGGGGCCTTGGAGGCAGGGCCGCCTTCCCTCCGAGGAGCGAATGCTGGGGGAGGCGGCGGGGCTCCGGGGCTGAGAGGGCGCAGCGCCGGCCGGCGGGTTTCGGAGTCTCTCCTGCGGTCCGGTGTGGCTGGGTGGGCGGAGCGTGGTCCCGGGAGGTGGGGGAGGTTCACATGCCTGGGTTTCGGGGTTTCGGGCTTGATTCCCCCGGGGACCTGCAGGAGGCAGCCCATCCATGTTTCTCTCACATCCATGTGTCTCTCTCTCTCAAATCAATAAAAACATTTTTTAAAAAAGAAATGACTGATATTCCCAGAAGCATTGTACATAGTGTCATAAAGCACAAGTTTGCAACACCCGCCATAACTTTTCCCTGACTTTATCGTTACACTTTGTTATCGGCAAAAGGCGCAGCTGTATTCCATCCTCTTTATTTATTTATGGAGCAATTCTGAACCAAGGCTGGTGCTCTCCTCAGCTCTGTCTGCCTCCTGAGAAGCTACCTTCTCTTCACTGCGTCTTCCCTTTGTGCATCCATACTTCACCCGCTGCACGAAATTCCTGTGGCTGCTATTACACACGACTACAAAACTGGCAGCTCAAAAATGGGAAATGCATTTTCTTTCAGTTCTGGAGGTCAGAGGTCTACATCGGCATCACTGGACTGAACGCCAGGCCCCTGTGCTCCCTCCTTGGCTCCGGGGCAGAAGGTGTTCCTCGCCGCGCCAGTTCCCACCCCGACAAACCCTCTCCAGTTCCGAACCCTCAGAGCCTGCGAGGCCGTAACTGTGTATTGTTTCTAAGCCGCTGTGTTTGGGAGCACTGTGTTAACATAGCCATGGGTGATGCAGCAGGTGAGGCAGAGGTGAAAGTGGGGACTCGGTGAGCAGCAGTACCACTTGTCTTAGGCACAGGCGAGGAGGAGGCGTGTTTGGGGGGGAAAGGGTCGTTGTGGCAAGACTCAGCTTAAGATGCCACAGGACGTTAAGGTGGAGCCGTGGGGTGGAAGTTAAACAAGATCAGAAGGGTGTTGGGAACAGGTTATATTTTGGAGTCATGAACCTACAGGAATAGATAGTAGAACATGTGCGAAAACATCACCTTGTGCCACAGGCTGGCTGCTCTGGAAGCATCTACTGAGACTGAACTTAGGGTGCAAGGTGTTTACTAGGGATCCGTCCTGTGAAAGGGGAAGGAATCAGTATCAGGCAGAAGGAAAATACTTTGCTGTCCCAACAGAACCCCAGCCAGCCGGCCAGGAGCCTGAACAGTTGCTGCCTGTCAGTAACTTTGGGCCAAATGACGGACCTCTGCACACCCGGGGCTCAGTCACCAGAGGTGCGTGGCCGAGCCATGACCCAAGGGAGTGGTTCTCAGCAGCGAGCCAGACCCTGTGACAGCTGGAGCTGCTGCTGGCCACGGGGCCTGATGGGCAGCAAGCCCTGCTTGAAGAGGGCTCTGGGCCGCGCATCTCTGTGCACCACTCCTGGGAACCAGTACGTGCGTTCTGAGTGGTTTCTTCCATTAACTCTCTCCCCTCAGGTGCAGGCGGGGTCTTGCCTTTTCACACTCTGCCACCTGAGGTCCCAGCAGGCTGGCCAACCCCAAGACTCAGGCCGTGACTTCAAGGAGGCCTTGGAGAGCAATGCCCAGTCACTAGGTGAGGAAACGACAGGTTTAATAGTTTACAGCTTTAGAAATTATGAAGCTTTCTTTACAATTATGAAGCTTTAAGGAGGGCCATGGTGGCTGCCAGCGTGGGATTGAGTGAAGGGCTGCCTACCTTCTAGGTGCTGTCATGTGAAAGCCCCGAGGGGCTCTGAGAGACCTGTTTCCAGGACCAGTGACCCTGGTGATGGCACGCCGGAGGAGCTCAGGAAGGACCTGAACCCCTTCACTCCTCCTGTAGGCATCCGGATTCCTGGCCACAACTCCATGCGGGACTTGGCCCAGGTGTTTGGGGGACCACTTGCTCTCACCAGAGCCGACCTCAGCTCCCAGACCAGTTCTCTGAGTCGAAGAGTTCCAGGACCTCTGGCCTCAGCTGCCCCTGGTAATTGATGGGGACCGATTGGGGATGGCAAGAGCCCCGAGTGTCGCCTCGGCTCAACTGTGGGTGACCTGTCTGTGCCCGGGAAGTCTGGCAGCATTCGTCCAGGCTGTGCCCTGGGAAATACTACGGCTGTCCTCCAAAGGGAGTGCGCTGCTCCCTCACAGGAATCCTGCTGCTGAGGCTTGGGAGGAGGAGGGCCCAGGAATGATGCTAGAGACGCTGTGTCTGTCCACTGGTGGCTGGAAAGGCCTCCTTTGCAGAGGCCACTGGGACCACAGTGCCACTCATCTGACTTTTAAGGCAGTTTGTCTTTTTTTTTTTTTTTTTAATATATTTTATTGATTTTCCACAGAGAGGAAGGGAGAGAGATAGAGAGTTAGAAACATCGATGAGAGAGAAATATCGACCAGCTGCCTCCTGCACATCCCCTACTGGGGACGTGCCCGCAACCCAGGTACATGCCCCTGACCGGAATCGAACCTGGGACCCTTCAGTCCGCAGGCTGACGCTCTATCCACTGAGCCAAACCGGTTTCGGCAAGGCAGTTTGTCTTTATGAACATTGTAGCCAGGCCCAGAAGAAGCTGGTTTAGCTTCACACATGGGGAAGGGGGCTATATTTATTGTCTGTAATTTCATATGTCAGCCACAAACTGGACAAAGACTTTAAGAACAACAACAAAAGAAATAAAAATGAAAATAAAAAATAAATAAAATAATGAAGCATTAAAATGAAAAATCATGAAGTATTCTTAAAATTAAAAAGTATAAAATATTCTTTTAAAAACTATACATCTAATTAAGTCTTCATATCTAACCACCAATTATATGAAATATAGGGGACAGAGGGACATGTGAAATGACTCCACAGGGATACAGTAGGCATCTACAGGGTAACTTAATTTTTTTTAACAGCATGTAAATGGAGAGAGAGAGGGAGGGAGGGGGAGAGAGGTTGAGAGAGTAAGTACCTATGGACAGGACTAGCTGCATAACTGATTTTCAGAGCCCAGTGTAATTTTCATGACCTCCAGTGTGGGGTCCTTTTTACCAAAAGCAGGAAAAAGATGCTGTTAAAGGTATTACAATATTAAGCTATTTCCTTTATTCTGCAATCTCTTGACCTTTCACGATAGGTATTTTTTTTCATTTGTTAGAAGGGGTGGAGAAGTAGGGTCAGCCATCCCTTCCACTGTCCTCCTGGCCCAGCCTGCAGCGAGCCAGCAATGCCCTGGGATGCGTTATGTACCTGGTTCCAGGATGTGTGGATCAAGCTGCGGGTGGAAGGCAGGGTGGTGCTGCCAGCTCTGGAGAAAGGGCAGGGAGAGGCGGAGGCTGGCGTCAGTGGACTGTGGAACCCCTGACTCTAGGACCTGACCCTAGAAAGTGAGGAGGCCCCAGGAAGTGGGCCCACATGGCAGCTGAGTCCCAAGCATGTGCACATACAAAACACAAATTCAAAGGTACAATTATTAAGACTTTCAAGACAGCGACTGCAGAGCATTAAGCCTCAAGCATGGGGTGGCCCTGCGTGAAGACACTGGTTGCACAACTGACTGCCTATAGATAAAAAGAAATTCAAACGCCTCCTCAACCAATTACAATGTATGGAACTTATTTGTGGCCCGATTTGAACAAACCAGCTAGACAGGCAATGAGGTAATTTGAATACAGATTGGATTTTTGACAATATTAACATGGATTGTTAATCCTTTAGGTGTTATTAAACTGTCATGTTTAACTTGTAATAGTTTACCTTTCCAGATATATACTAAATACAGATGAAAGAGCAGGATGGCTGGAATGTGCCTTAAAATAATATGAGAGAAGGTCCAGTCGGTAAGGGCCTGGATGAAAAGAGACTGACCAGGAGCAGATAATGGTTGAAGCTGGGTAGGGGAATAGTCTCTATGTTGTCATATACTCTTGTAATTACTTTTCCACGGTCAAAAGTTTCAAACGATAATAATCTGCTTTGGACAAAAGATTTAAGTCACAATTCATTCCTGAAAAATAGGAAAAATAAACACCACCTGTATTATTTTGTAATAAAAATTTTAAACAAAAAAATCTTCATATATGTTTATAGCATCTTTATTCATAATACCCACAGGAAATGTCTAGGTCAGCCGTGGGCAAACTACGGCCTGCGGGCCAGATCCGCCCGTTTGAAATGAATAAAATTAAAAAAAAAAGACCGTACCCTTTTATGTAATGACGTTTACTTTGAATTTATATTAGTTCACACAAACACTCCATCCATGCTTTTGTTCCGGCCCTCCGGTCCAGTTTAAGAACCCATTGTGGCCCTCGAGTCAAAAAGTTTGCCCACCCCTGGTCTAGGTGCTCTATCAATAGCTGAATATAAGAGCAAACTGTGATATTTATACTTCAACAATGGACTACTACTCAGAAATAAAATGGAATGAACTATTGATTTTACATATCAACATGAGTTCCAAAACCATTATGCTAAGTGAAAGAAGACTTACAAAAAAAGTAGGTACTGCATGACTCTGTATATATGAAGTTGTACACCATGCAAAACTAATCTGTGGTGAAAAAGGAAAATCAGAACAGTGGTTGCTTCTGGGAAGGAGAGGAAGGATCGAATGGGGAGGGGTATAGGGGGACTTCTGTGTTAATGACAGTGTCCTATATTTTTATGGGTTTAGGGTTAACTACACATTTTGTCAAAATTCAGGAAATGCTCAAGTAAGCTTTGAGCATTTCACTGTATGTAAATTTTACTTTAAAAGAAAGGAAATTGTGAGTAAATATTGAGCACTAGTTAATGAAGTACTTGCTTAAGTATATGGGGGGAGATGTGCTGACACACAAAAAACCAAAATGGGTTGAGGAATAGATAGATGGATAGACAGGAGATAAAACAACAAGTATAACAAAATATTGATAAGAGAGTCAAAGTGGTGAGCTCTTGGGTGTTCACAATAGCCTCACATTTTCTGTAGGAAAATTTCTCAAAGCAAAATTTTGGGAAATAGAGGGAGCCACCTTCTGGAAGAAACCGGAATTGCTGGTGGTTCAGAACGGTGAGCAAAGGAAGCATGTTTCTATGACTTGGTGCTGCTAACTTAACCAGTTTTCACACATCCTATTGGTTCTCGCTCATATGTCCAAGCCGTCTTCTTTGGCTGGAAGTCTTTCTTCCCTTCCAATGACTCGCTTCCCACTCAGAGTTTACTTCCTCCAGAACAGAGGTTTGTAAATAGTACATACTTTAGGCTTTGCGTGCTAAGAGACAACATTGTAGATATTTATTTCTTTTTTCTTTTTAAAAAAATGTTGTTTTTTTTTTAATCAATTTTTAGAGAGGAAGAGAGAGAGAGAGAAACATCGATTGTTTGCCTCCCTCACAGCACCCCAACCTGAAAACTAGGCATGCGCCCTGACTGGAATAGAATGGTGACCTGTCAGTGCACCAGACAACACTCAACCAACTGAGCCACACCGACCAGGTTATATGGGTATTTACTTACTTATTTACTTTTAAATGTATTTTTATTGATTTCAGAGAAGAAAGGAGAGGGAGAGAGATAGAAACATCAGTGATGATAGAGAATCATTGATCAGCTGCCTCCTGCATGCCCCCCACTGGGGATTGAACCCGAAACCCGAAACCCGGGCATGTGCCCTTGACTGGAATCAAACCTGGGACCTTTCAGTCTGCAGGCTGACGCTCTATCCACTGAGCCAAACCAGCTAGGGCTATATGAGTATTTATATAAAAAGAGAGAGAACTGATTTCCAAATTTTCACTGATGAGATTTATTTTATTTTTTTATTTTAAAAATATGTTTTATTGATTTTTTACAGAGAGGAAGGGAAAGGGATAGAGAGTTAGAAACATCGATGAGAGAGAAACATCGATCAGCTGCCTCCTGCACACCCCCTGCTGGGGAAGTGCCTGCAACCCAGGTACATGCTCTTGACCAGAATCGAACCCGGGACTCTTCAGTCCCTAGGCTGACACTCTATCCAGTGAGCCAAACGGGCCAGGCCAGGGCACTGATGAGATTTAAAACATAATAATATTCAGTACAAGTTTTTGTAAAACAGGTCTACTAAGGAGAAAAATGGAATTCTTCTTGGGAAAGGTGGAGTACATTTCTCTAAATTAGGGAACAAAGTTATTCCCTAGCATCAAAATCAATTGCAAATGTTATCTGTTAATCCTGATCTGTAACAAGATTTTACACATTTAATCTTACAGAAATTTAGTCTTTTCATCCAGATAAAGTGTCTAATATTGAGATCAATTCAAGGGCATGTGATTTTATTTATCTATTTTATTATTATTATTAAAAAAAATAATTATTTAGCCCTAACAGGTTTGATTCAGTGGATAGAGCATCAGCCTGTGGACTGAAGGGTCCCAAGTTGGACTCTGGTCAAGGGCACATGCCTGGGTTGTGGGCTCAATCCCCAGTAGGGAGTGTGCAGGAGGCAGCCAATCAATGTTTCTCTCTCATCATTGATGTTTCTATCTCTCTCTACCTCTCCCTTCCTCTCTGAGATAAATTTTTGCTAAGGCATCAATTTTTTTTTAATTTATTTTTATTTTTAAAAAAAATTTTTTAAAAAAATAATTTTATTGATTTTTTACAGAGAGGAAGGGAGAGGGATAGAGAGTTAGAAATATCGATGGGAGAGAAACATCGATCAGCTGCCTCCCGCACACCCCCCACTGGGGACGTGCCCGCAACCAAGGTACATGCCCTTGACCGGAACCGAACCCGGGACCCTTCAGTCCCAAGGCCGACGCTCTATCCAGTGAGCCAAACCAGCCAGGGCTAAGGCATCAATTTTTTATTGTTTAAAGTATTACATATGTCCCTTTCTTTCCCCCATTGACCCTTTCTAATCCACTCCGACCACCCGCACCAGGCCCTAATTGAGATTTTAATCTCTTGGAAGGCAATTATAGAATTAGATTGTTCTCTGGACATTTTCCTTTAGGCATGTGAGATCTAATCATTTCTTTTTTTAAAAAATATATTTATTTGATTTTTTACAGAGAGGAAGGGAGAGGGATAGAGAGTTAGAAACATCGATGAAAGAGAACCATTGATCAGCTGCCTCCTGCACACCCCCTACTGGGTAAGTGCCCACAACCAAAGTACATGCTCTTGACTGGAATCGAACCTGGGACCCTTGAGTCCGCAGACCGATGCTCTATCCGCTGAGCCAAACCGGTTAGGGCTAATCATTTTTTACTTAAAGTTAAATGAAAGCTGCTCAATGGCACAAGTAAATGAGTCTTGAAATTTGAAAAAAAATTTTTTTATTTGTATTGAGGTCTATAAAATACTGCTAAAACTGTAGTTTGAGCTCAAATAATAAAATCACTTCAGGTCTGTGTGAGAATGGAGGAGGGAGATCTTGCTTTTATTGTCAAAATGACTTTTCCACAGAATAAGTTTTGCATGTAAGTGCTGTACTGTCTTGTTAGTTTGAGTTCATTAAGAAGTATCATTGGCAATCGGCGTGTCTCAGTGGATGAGCATCAACCTAGGAACCAGAGGTCATGGTTCGATTCCCGGTCAGGGCTCATGCCTGGGGTTGCAGGCTCCATCCCCAGTGGGGGGCATGCAGGAGGCAGCTGATCAATCATTGATGTATCTTGCTCTCTCTCCCTTTTCCTTCCTCTCTAAAATCAATAAAGGTGTGTTTGCTTTTTAATTTTCATTTATTTTAAATATATATTCTAAATATATTTATGTGCCATTGACCAGAATGGAATCCGGGACCCTTCAGTCCGCAGGCGGATGCTCTATCCACTGAGCCAAACTGGCTTGAGCTGTTATTTTTTTATGTTTTTTTTTTAATGTAACAAAAGAAGTATCATTGATCACAATGAGCAAATTAGCAAAAATGAATTCTAAAGCCACCCAGTCATCCTATCTAATAATAGACAAACATGGTAATTGACTGTACCTTCGCTATGCCTCCCATGGGCTAATCAGCATGATATGCAAATTAACTGCCAACAAAGATGGTGGCTAATTTGCATACTGCAGGCAGGGCACGACAGCACCATCCCACCTGCCCTGCTGCCATCCGGGCCTGCTATCTGCGACCTGGGGCGGCGGGCGTCTGTGTGCAACCTGACCTGGAGCGGCCGGGTGGGGCAGCAGCGATCGGCCGGCCCGCCCAGGTATCCTGTGTGCGACCGGACCCGGGGGCAGCACCCCAACCCCCGGATTGGCCCTGCCGTGTGTGTGACCCTGGGAGGCGGGGCAGGTACCGAGGGATCGGGCCTGCCATCTGCCACCCGGGGAGCGGGCCTAAGCCAGCAGGTGGTTATCCCCCGAGGGGTCCCAGACTGTGAGAGGGCACAAGTGGGGCTGAGGGACACCCCCCACCCTCCCCCGCCAGTGCACAAATTTTTGTGCACTGGGCCTCTAGTTCCACAATAGTGGTTAAGGGAGGTTCTTCTCATTTAGAAAAAAACTTTAGTCTTGGCCCTGAGCTAATAAACAAAACTCATAAGAAAATGTTATCACTGCTAAGGCATCAAACGCTGTGTGGTAGGGAAGTCAGGATATGTAACTGCTGATTGTGACAAAATATGTGGAGTGACAACAGTTAAGTCCATGAGAGCAAATAAGTTTTTTGTTGACACTACCCGTTCAGTGACACATGGTAGATGTTTTCTACAAAGTACCTGTTGATTGATAACATAGTACACTGATGTTATAACCATAGGCTAGAAACAACTTACATTTTCACAAGTGGAAATCTGTCAAAATGAGCCTGTTTCTGCTTACATAGGCTGTAACACATCATAGCTGATTTCACCTTAGGAATATTGATTGGAGTTTTCTCAACTTCTTTAAAAATATTTTCACCTGTTGCCAGCAGCTGAATCAGAGGTTAATTCTTCAGTCACCCCAAACATTGACTCCTTGAATCAACAGGCACAAATGAGCATAATCAATAACACTTTTTAACTTATTAAGAGCCCAGGAAAACCTCTCAAAATAACTTGCCTTCACTAATTTATTTATTTATTTATTTATTTATTTATTTATTTATTTATTTATTTATATATTTTATTGATTTTTTTACAGAGAGGAAGGGAGAGAGATAGAGAGTTAGAAACATCGATGAGAGAGAAACATCGATCAGCTGCCTCCTGCACACCCCCCACTGGGGATGTGCCCGCAACCCAGGTACATGCCCTTGACCGGAATCGAACCGGGGACCCCTCAGTCCGCAGGCCGACGCTCTATCCACTTAGCCAAACCGGTTTCGGCACTAAATAATTTAAAATGACTATTGATGTTGTTCCCAGTGGCCTCAACACTTTAAGCAGTTGATTTCAGTCAAATGATGCCATTGTAATTAGCTAGTTATTAATAATAGGAAAGGAACAAAGGGAAGGCCAGGCATTGTAGGCATGTCATTTGGGCAGCTTCACCAGGGAGCTGCAGCCTTGCACTCCCCAGGGAACCACCAGCCTATTCCCTGCAAAATGCTGGGGGCAGGGGACTGGACAAAGGAAGATAGACACATTCCCAGGAAAGTTGGGGTGACATAGGGAAGGTACTTGTATGTCAGTCAGACCTGGGGAACATGAATTGGCCAGAGTGGGCATGGCCACTGCGAGCACCGAAAATGTAGGAATACATAATCCTGTAAATAAAGGGGTGCTTTCTCTTGGCTAGTGGCTCCTGCTTGGCTTCCTTGCGATTTTTTTTTTTTTTTTTTTTTTTTTTTTTTTTTGGTGAGCAGGGTGCAAGGGTGACTTCTTTCCGGGTTCTTGTCCAGATGGATTTGAAGAATGAAGCCACAGACAAAAGGTGGTAAGTGAGAAGCATAGAAATTTTATTGCAAGTAGACAGTACCTCTAAAACTACATTTAAGCTTCTAATTCTAAGACTCTGTCTCTCCTGGCTAAGGAGAGGCAGAGGGGTCCCCTAAAGAGGGGTGGCCGCTGCTCTCTTTGTCTGGAGGTATTATATGTCCTGGAGACCACCCTTTCCCTCATTGTGCCTTTCCCCTGTGGGACCTTAGCCTTGTAATCAGTTCCCATGGCCCCCACATCCTCACTTCTCTTTTTGGTTATCTTACTTGTTCAGGTTGGAGTTGCTTTTGAGCTCCCTTATGGCTTCCTCTCAGTTGTCCTGGCTGGAGATGTTTTATTACCCCTTAGGTCAGGGCTGCTTTAGATCTAACTTATGGCTGCTTTAAGTGTCCTCTCTGGACCCCTCCCCCCGCTTCCTGTCTGCCTAGTTAAGCTGGCTAGCCAACCCTGATCACTCGCATCCTCCATGTTTCCTCCATAGCCTTGTGGCCCTGCGGACTCCACACCCAATGGACTGATGGACAGCAGTGGGAAACACAAGCTAAACTAGCCTGACGTTGAACTGGACCCAGCTCCAACGTGGAAAGGAAACTGGACACTGGCTCTGCGTTTAGCTCTACTGAAGCCCCAGTCATACCTCTTCTAGGACTGGACTAAGGGAAATGGGACTTTGGCAACCCAGGTGTAACTCCACAGAAATAAAGCTTTCTACTCACTATAGCTCATCCTCCCGCTGGGGCCTCCGGAAATGCTCCTTCTGGTGGTACTCCAAGAACCCCCCTGCATGAGCAGGAGGGGGAGGGGGAGAGATAAGGCCCTTTCCTATCCTGAAACTCAAAGGCTAATGGTCTTAAACAGGTTTGTTTTTTTCTGAGTACATTTCTTCAGCTGCTGCAATGAATCATCATTTAATCCACATACCATAAGTAAATAACTTTCTTGCAAACAAATAAGCCACTTACTTTGGTTGCAGCTTCATTTCCTTCCTTCCTTTTTTCTTTCTTTCTCTTTTTTTTTTTGTGAAGAAATTTTACTATGATGAGATGTTCCATTTAATTTTTATAACTTTTCTGTGATTTGGGGATACTGTGAAAACTGCTTGGTCTGGTAATGTCAACATATATTGCATTCTTCTTCTTTTTTTAAAAAAAATATGTTGTTACTGATTTCAGAGAGGAAGGGAGAGGGATGGAAACATGATGAGGGAGAATCATTGATCTGCTGCCTCCTGCACGCCCCCTACTGGGATCCAGCCCACAACTCAGGCATGTGCCCTGACCAGGAATCAAACCATGACCAGGGCTCATGTCCTTTTAATACACTACTCATGTCCTAGCCGGTTTGGCTCAGTGGATAGACCGTTGGCCTGACTGAAGGGTCCTGGATTCGATTCTTGATCTCTAGTAGGGGGCTGCAGGAGGCAGCTGATCAGTGATTCTCATCATTGATGTTTCTATCTCTTTTCCTCTTCCTTACTCTCTGAAATCAAAAATATACTTAAAAAATACACTACTCATGATAGGCACTTTAATTTGACAGGAAGTTTCTTTTTTCACAGTACTCACCTCTATCAGCATTTCCAGAGAATGCTGTTCAGTGTTCAGAAAATCAACATCATTAGTGAATCTTCATTCAAGAAAAAAAAATGCATTTTCCTCAATAACCAGGATTTTCTTTTTGCCTGAATCATTAGGCATTACATAACTAATCTTATAATTTTTTTGCCTGTGTTGGTTCGCGCAAAGCATTGTGGTTTTCTTTTTATAAGGTAAACACTTAATAGTGTAGTGGTCTGGTTGGGAATGTGTGGCCTATGCTGCCATCTAGTGGGAATTTTTATTATTACACTACGATGAAGAGCGTTTTAATGTCACCCATTTCCCTCTGAAGCATAGCAAGATTCTTCAGATTCCTTGCTCCTATCACAACTGATTCTGTATCTTAGGAATGAAGTGGGAGGGAAATGAAAGAGGGTGGTAGAAAGGAAAGATATTCTAATGGGGCTTTGTACTTAAATTCTGGGAAGCGAAAGAAAACACCACTTCTGAGTGAGAGCCAGGCATTTTGGAGGGCTAGACAATGCCCCCTACTGGCTTCTCTTGGCATAGACAAGTTATATTATATTTCCAATGTACCAAAGGCCCCCCCCCCAAGTAAATAAATTGTGCACTTAATCTCTCTAGACTTGGTTTCTCCGTATATGCAAAAGAGAATGATGGCGGTAGTCTAAATATTCTCCAAAGGTCTTTCCATATCAACGTCCTATGACTCTACAATTTCTTACTCAAAATATTTTGCCTATGTGACATCCCACAGACACGTTGGGAAATTTTTGGAGGCTTAGAATGTGTTGTTGTTGGTAGATGTTCTTCATACAGTCTAAATAAGACCTTATATTTCCTTTTGTTTTCTCTTTGTAAGCAAAATAATAGCTACATATCCCAAGATGAATATTGGGGACACAGTCATGCTATCCCAGTTTTCTCTTTGGCTTCCTGGCAAAGGAATGAAACTGGCTGACATTATCAGAGTGGAAGAGTGAACAGGAGGCAGTATGTGAGGGAGAGCTTAAACCATTACAAAATTCAGCAGTGACCCCGTGATTCATTTTGTTTCCTGGTAGTTACCACTTTCTAATTTTGAAAGATGTGGTTTTCTGATTTTGTTTTTCCCTAAGAAGCTTACTGGGCTTGCACAGAAAGCACTAATGGGATAAGGTTAAAGAGCTGATTCAGCATCAACAGAAGCAGATGCCTTGTTGTAATTAAATTGAAACTCTTTTTTTTAAAATTAAACCTTTATTGTTCAGATTATTACATTTGTTCCTCTTTTTCCCCCCCATATATCCCCTCCTCCCAGTTCCCGCCCCACCCTCCGCCCTCACTCCCCACCCACTGTCCTCATCCATAGGTGCACGATTTTTGTCCAGTCTCTTCCCGCATCTCCCACACCCCTTTCCCCCCCAAGAATAGTCAGTTCATTCCCTTTCTATGTCCCTGATTCTATTATGATCACCAGATTATTTGTTCACTTGATTCTTAGATTCACTTGTTGATAGATGCATGTTTGTTGTTCATAATTTGTATCTTTACCTTTTTCTTCTTCTTCCTCTTCTTAAAGGATACCTTTCAGCATTTCATATAATACTGGTTTGGTGGTGATGAACTCCTTTAGCTTTTCCTTATCTGTGAAGCTCTTTATCTGACCTTCAGTTCTGAATGATAGCTTTGCTGGATAAAATAATCTTGGTTGTAGGTTCTTGGTATTCACGACTTTGAATATTTCTTGCCATTCCCTTCTGGCCTGCAAAGTTTCTGTTGAGAAATCAGCTGACAGTCGTATGGGTATTCCCTTGTAGGTAACTGAGTTTCTTTCTCTTGCTGCTTTTAGGATTTTCTCTTTGTCTTTTGCTCTTGGCATTTTAATTATGATGTGTCTTGGTGTGGTCCTCTTTGGATTCCTTTTGTTTGGGGTTCTCTGCGCTTCCTGGACCTGTAAGTCTATTTCTTTCACCAGGTGGGGGAAGTTTTCTGTCATTATTTCTTCAAATAGGTTTTCAATGTCTTGGTCTCTCTCATCTTCTGGCACCCCTATAATTCTGATGTTGGTATGCTTGAAGTTGTCCCAGAGGCTCCTTACACTATCTTCGTGCTGGGGTCCAACCCCAGCAGGTCCAGGGGTTCCCAAAGGCGTAGATGGAGTCGGCGAAGAAGGAAGGACATGGAGACAGTGTTCAGTTGATCAGCAGCCTAGCCAGGATCTCCAGCTAGGATCTCCAGCCAAGTTCTGGTCTGGATCTCCAGAGAGGTTCTGCTTAGGATCTCCATCCAGGTTCTGTGTCCATGTTCTCTTGCTAGGTTCTCCAGGTTCTCCAGCCAGGTTCTGTAGCCATGTTCCCTTGCTAGGTTCTCCAGCCAGGGTCTCCAGGTTCTCCAGCCAGGTTCAGTCACCAGGTTCTAGTCAGGTTCTCTTGCCAATTTCTGTAGTCAGGTTCAGTCCAGGATCTTTTGCCATGTTCTCTCGCTAGGTTCTGTCTCTAGGTTCTGTTGCCAGTTTCTGTCCAGGATCTTTTGCCATGTTCTCTCCAGCGAAGTTCTTCTGTCTCTAGAGAACGTTCTGTGTAGGTTCTGTGCCTCCTGGTTCTGTCTTCTAAGTTCTGTCTCCTAAGTTCTGTGTTCTAAGTTCTGTGTTCTAAGTTCTGTCTTTTGCTGTCTTGTTACATCTGTATTTATACCAGTTGATTCAATCCTATCAATCTCTATTCCAAAGGTTAGGGCGTTTCTTATCTCCATTCCAGAGAGTAAAGATTATGTAGCTTAAGCATGATTGTTCGTAGTTAAAGTGATTAATTACCCGCCTGGCACTTAGTTAAGAGGTTTTATTCCCTCCCTAACTTCAGGGGAAAATCCCTACCTGGGGAAACAACCTTTCTCAGAGAGGAGACCTTGGTTAAAACACATAGTGCCAAGAAGGTGAGCAAACATATTAAGAACAGTATGCCATATATGCCGGGTCCCTTGAAACAGCAAGGATGGACCGGCTCCCGGCATCTTCGTATTTTCGGATTCTTTTTTCATTTTGCTTTTCCAGTTGGGTGTTTTTTGCTTCTTCGCATTTCGAATCTTTGCCTTGATTCTTGCGCTCCTCTGGTCTGCTGTTGGGTGTCTGTACAATATTCTTTATTTCAGTCCGTGTATGCTTAATTTCTAGTTGGTTCTTTATCACAATATCGAGGGTCTCATTAGATTTCTTGAGGATCTCACTACATTTATCGGTGGTCTCACCAGTCTTTTCGAGGGCCTTACTAAGTTTATCGGCAGCTTCTAGACAGTTCTTGAGAGACCTTAAAAGTGTGATTTTGAGCTCTATATCTTCCACTTCTGACATTTGCGTCCTGTTTCTTTGTCTCCGCATTTTTTTATCTTTTCTTGGTGCACCCCCTAGTGGTCTTTGTGCGCAGTCTTGTTGTAGTTAAGCCTTGATTGTTGTCAGCAATACCGGGGGTGATTTAACCTCCAGGCTAACTGGCTATGTCAGCTGTGTCTGCAGTGGGAGAGCTTCTGTGCTGGATCTCTAGGGCGGTGCTAATCTAGCCTTTGCCTGAGGCTATCTGGCAAATGGCTCTGCGCAGGGCTTGGGCTGGGCGGGTCCCCGGGGATCTACAGGGCAGGCGGAGCAAGCAGTTATGGCTGCTCTCAGTTCCGTCCCTAGGGGCTCTGCCTCACAGAGTCCCAGCAACCGCTGCAAACCTCAGAGAGAAAGCTGCCTTCGAGTTCTGACCGAAGCCAGACAGTCCCGCTTCTCCCGTTTGAGTCTGGGTCCTTAGAGACTCACCTGGATCTGGAGCTCAGAGTCTGAAACTCCCTTCCGATTGAAAACAACAACCGCGCCCTCTGCCACCAGCCCGCTCGTGCGTACTCCGCACCTGAGTATTTCACTTCAGCACTGCGCCTCCTCTGAGTCTGGGTATGATATTCTCTTTCCTCCTAGTTGTAGAATTTCCACTCAGCCAGCCTTCCTGTGGTTCTGGATGATGTCCGTTCCGTCTTTTAGGTGTACCCTTGAATTGGTTGTTCGAGGCAGCAATCTCCGGCGTTAACCTATGCCGCCATCTTGGTTTCTCCTAAATTGAAACTCTTAAGACCTTCTATGGGCCAATTTTTGTAGCCTAGCCATTGCCTTATCTTTTATTTTATTTATTTATTTATTTTTAAATATATTTTCTTTTTTTTTTTAATATATTTTTTATTGATTAAGATATTACATATGTGTCCTTGTCCCCACGTTACCCTCTACCCCCCACCCCCCCCCCACCCCCGCTCATGCCCTCACCC